CGCCCGACAACAAAGGCTGTTCCGCGCTCTCATTTTCAAGAACCAAGCATGCTCCACATGAACAACACCAACAGCACGATCGACCCGGTCGTCAAGGACACGGCGAGCCTCAAGCGGCGCTGGTTCAACGACGACGACGACGCGTGCGACGAGTCGCCGGCGCTCGCGCTGCGCCACGACCTCGACGCGATCACGGTCGACGTGTGCGCCATGCAGGCCCAAGTCGACCAGGCCGTCCTCGATGTCCAGCGCCTCATGGCCATGATCACCGAGCTCGACAGTCTCCGGAAGCGGCGGCGCATGTGCTAAGCATGGCAAGAAGAAGATGATGATGACGACGAAGACTCTACAAGACGACGATGACGCTCCACGATGCTCGACACCGATTCGTCGGCAAGACGACGTGGAGGAGGAAGGGAATGGAGATCAAGTGGCCACACGCGGCCAGGCGACTAGAAGATATGACAAGTAGAGTAATGTGCTATATTAGTCGATGATAAACTCGATATAATATTTATGGAAAGCAACGCGGCTGCATAGACCGCCCGCGCGATCTTAATTGACGCGCGCGATAGAGTACCTTGGCAAGCAAGCCACGGACAAGGTGCTCGAGCGAGTGATCCGAGGCTCGCATTACAGCCGCGGCGTGGGACACGAAGGACAACCGCACGTGGGTGGCAACCACATGGGACATGTGCAAGATGAAGCGCCGCGCAACGCCACAAAACGTTGCCCTTCTTCTTGCAGCGATGGTTTAACGTGTGCATCGAGTAGTCGAGCTCTTCTGGTCCGCACGGCGGCGGACAAGTTGTTGTTGTAGCTGTAGACACGAGGTCCTCCTCTGCAAGTGCACCGGTGTCAACGACTTGCTATCGGAGACAGGCAATGCCAGAGATCGACCGTCCGAGGCTCCAGCGTGCTGCTGCATGCAGCGGACATATCTAGATTAGCACTCGTTACTTGGACTTGGCGGCTACGTCCTTGCGGTACGCTTTCCAGCAGCCTTGGCACACCTACTCGCCGACACGTAATGAGACGCTGCGATGCGACGGCCTCTCGTACAAGGTAGTTGAGGACATGGAGGATCGCCATGCCGCCAAACGCCATGGCGTACTGCACCTAGTCGTTCCGTTAGAATCAACGCGCATGTTCCAAGCGTCTCGTAGTCGTACCAGATGCGGGAAGCGGGCTCGATCGGCAAAGACAGCAACGTGCACCGCGATCGGGAGGACGCCGCGCGTCGCAACAAAGGTGACCCAGACGCCTTGCCATGCCATGGCGTAGATCGCGTTCGACATGCTGTAGCCTGCCATCGAGAGGAGCTTGCGCGCGTGCAGAAATACCGAGTTGAGCTCGAGGAGCAGCATCACCACGAGGTAGCACTGCCCGACACCGTAGACAATGGCCGAGGCGTAGCATGCGCCGACCATGATGTGATGGGCGAGGATCCCTGGCGCCTTGAGCCACAGCTTGTACGCGACAAGGTCGTAAAAGTCGTAGAGGAAATAACCCGTCGAGATGGCGAGCGGCAGCATCGCGCCGTCGGGGCTGGCGAGGACCCAGTCCGCGTCAAAGAAGGCGCGGCCGTGGTAGCTGAGCACGGCGAGGCTCACGCACGACGAGACGATGGAATGCAGGAGCGACACCGACGTGTTGAGCCACAGAAGGCGGTCCATAGGCGCGTCGCTCCGGAACGCCGCCACGCAGGCGCGCGAGGCAAAGGGCACAACGCTTACGCGCAGCCCATAGAACACCTAGGGATATGCACAGGCTGAGCCAGCAGCATGTAGTAGAGGCGTAGGTACCAGCGCGGAGATGCCGACGGGGCCGAGGCGGGGCACGTAGGCGGTGGCGCCGACGGCGCCCAAGAAGGCGACCAGCGCAAGCATGATCGGCCGCTTTCCAAATTGACGTTGAAGCGCCGGTTGCGGTGGCATCCGGATGGAAAGGCGGACGACGGCGGACTTCCATGTTGCACTTTCTCGGCGCGCTTCAAGGATTGATCCTGTGGCGAAACGAAGAAGGAAGGAAGGTGGACGAGGGTCGATGGAAATACCTTGGGCCCACAAGGCAGGCGGCGTAGGGAGCCCTCACGTCTCCATCAAGCGTGTCTCCGGACACGCAGCAGCAGGATCATGCTCGTCCATGCGTGTTGACGCTACGACCGAGTCCTGCGGTATGCTACAGCACTCTGTAGCGCCATCGACAAGGGGGATGACCGAGCATGTCGGCCACGGCAGACAAAGGTATGACGTAGCATGTTGGAAAATCGAATCTCTACGCTCGTGGCTCTTCCATGTTTATGGATGCAAACTGGCAAAGCCATGCACTTGCCGAGGTACACGCATGTGGAAAGAATGGACGTGAAAGCGATGCTGCGTGTTGAGCCTCACAGTAAAGGTGTCCAAGCTGCTTGGTAGACGACCGTCTCCTCCTACGCGACCGTAAGCTCCAGAGCGCATGCGCGGCGACGCTTCGAGCGCCCAAGATATCCACCCCAATTTGAAAGCGTGACGGGGTAAGCGTCGTCAAGACCAAGTCTTGGAGCGGCGTTGACGTCGGTGCACCGAGCGAGCAGTCGACGATGCTACAACGAACGGTTGTATTGCTATCAACGTTGGCGTGGGTGCGGTCATGGGCGATTTGTGGTCGCAGCATGGCTCCACCGTGAGGCGACAGGGACGACTGTCGTCGACGGCTGCAGGCACATAGTTAAGCCGTCTGCTTGCCTCCAAGTGGCGTGCCGACGACGGTAACGATGGTGTTACCAACGTTGGCGGGGACCATCTCTGTCTTCGTGCGACCACATGGCCAATTGAAATCTCACGCATCCAGCACACACCGCGTTAGTATATAGGCTTCATTACAGTGTTAGAGCGCCGAGTGGGCGTTGACAACGTAGATCGATTGCTGCGTGTCGTCGCCCGTCTTGTCTTGCTGGCGCTTGCGGCGAATGGCCCACACGGCACCGGCCACGACCAAGATGGCGGCCGCCGCAATCGCGACCGCACCGACCACTGAGACGCCCGAGGACGCGGTCGCACCTTCGCTCGTCGACTTGGTAGAGGTGCCATCCGACGACGTTGCAAGTGGCGTCGCCGTGGTTGCGACTTGAGCTCCAGGGTGGTCGTGGACCATCTCGAGCGAGACTAGGTCCTGAAAGCTTGGCATGGCCGCCATCTTTTGGAGCGACACGTTTTCATAAAAGTTGCAGTGGGGGCCTTGGCGCAGGATGATCTTGACGTCGGCGAGCAGGACGTCGCAGGCCGGCGTCGACTCGAAGAGCGCGACTTGGCTCGGGCTCGGAAACACGTTGGTTTGGGCAAAAAACGCGTCAAAGTCAAACTTGGTCACGTTCGCACACTGCGCAGCCTGCGGGATCGCCTTGATCTGCGCCACGACCGAGCCCACGTCGGCGACGTTGCACCGGGCGAGTGTCGGCGCCGGTGATCCATTGCTGCTGCTGTTGTTGTTGTGGCCGTTGTTGTTGTTACTGCTGCTCGCGTTGTTGTTGTTGTTGTTGTTATTGCTCGTCGGCGTGAGCGTCGCCGTCTCGCCCGTGCGCGCCTCGTGGCTCTGGATGTAGCTCACGAGGTCGCGGAAGTGCGGGAAGGACGCGAGCTTGTGCAGCGGCTCGTTCGGGTAAAAGTCGCAGGCCGGCGTGCCCGACAAAACGTCCTGGAACGCCTTGTACACGGTCTGGCAGGCGGGATACGACTCGAAGATCGACGTCTGCGCCGAGGTCGGGAACGCGCTGTCCTCGGTGTAGAACGCGTAGAAGCTCCAGCCCGGCGTCGGGCCGTCGCACGCTTTGAGCGTCGGAAAGGCCAGCAGCTGCGACTCAATGTGGTTGAGCGTCTCGACGGCGCATGGCGCGCTTAGCGCGGATCCGGCCATGGCGGCGAGCAGTGCGAGCGGTACGACCTGCATGATGGGCGACAAAGGCAAAGTGAGCTCGTCCAGCGCGGTATCGCAGCGCCAGCTGCTGCACTGGAAAGCTTTCCGAACGTGTCAAGTGTGTCTGTTTTCGAGTTGCATACAAGGATCAAGTCTAATGCTAGTATTGTGCAATGCAATATACATGACACAACTGAAAGGGGTAAAACTATGGAGGTACGTTCGATTGTACCTGGATTCGACAATGGGCAAACCCAGCTGCGACGCTGGCGAGCACCGGCGCTGAAGCTGCTTCACGCGCGCAACCTCCGTTCGCGACCGTTGGACAGCGCAGCGTGCTTGCGATGGAACCGAAACGTCGTTCGATAGTAGCTGTGGCGACATAGCACCTTGGTACCCGTCTTGCCCGATCTGCTCTGGGAGGTTGCGCACCGCCGCAGGCAGAGGTATGAGCTCGAGGGTAGCGACTAATAGTGCGGCTCGGGTTGACAAGAACGGATGCAGCAAACGAACGCTTGATCCAGCGCAGCGAGGCAGGTCGTTCGGAGGGCTTGCACATGGTCCGAGGAAGAATTGGACTGGAAGAGTACGGGAAGGTGGCTTCGATTCGTCTACAGCAGAAGAAGTTTCGCTGACCGTTGGCGAGAAGACAGCTCGAGACGACGTGGGCTTCCAAGCGAGAGAGGCAGAAGGATGCGCAGTAGTATGACGTCATCCACGGTGACCATCAAGTGCGTCGTCGTCTTCGGGCATTTCGTTGGATATAGTATTGGTCGGTCGTCGTCTTCGGGAACTGCTTGCAACGCAACAGGGCGTGCTGAGTATGGTCCACTGGTACGTATCATGCACTGGCGTGTAGTATGTGATTTGCATGGCCTGGAACAACTAAGAACTGATGGAGAATGCGGGCTGTACAAGCAGCGTTCCTCGTCCGTGTTGTCGTCTCAGCGGAGAATTTTTGTTGCCCGTGGGCAGTCGCATTGGATCGCACTTGGAGTCGGCTCGTTTGACTGCACGACATTCAACATACCAACGGACATTGTCTGCGGCGCAACGGCGTGACGCAAAAGGCCTCGGCATTCGCAGAATATATGTCGAGCGCAAAAAATAATGCATCGCCTCCTAGCAAGCTCAAAAAAGATATTCGACAGCTGTGAGGTTTGAACTCACGCGGGTAACCCCAGTGGATTTCAAGTCCACCGCCTTAACCACTCGGCCAAGCTGTCGGTTTCTGACACTTCTTATATTTTAATGACATAATCACATTTTATTGGAATCTATAGACAATTTGTGCATTATTGTGTGATTCTTTGTACAATTATGAAAATTTACAGGCTTAAATAGACGGTGGAAGTTTTTCAAAATTTGATACGATTTGTTTAGCGGATAAATTCGTTCTTGAAGTTATTTATTTTGTTATTGTCCAGTTATTGGTGTATCATTTATTGGCAATAGGGTGGAATCTCAGATACTGGTACTGGATTGTGGTCAGGATTTATGTGAGGATTCATGTCGCAGGATTCCAATCCACATATCCTAGTGTGCTGTCATGTATGATGAAGCCCGAGAATGATGCGACAGTGCATTGAAGTCTATGACCGCATGGATTACTACTTGCTAAGGACCATGAGGCGGTACCGCTCTGCCTTTTTCTTGCCCAAGTTGAGTGCGAGGCCTGTTTGCTTCAATGTCGCTGCAAACGTCTGCTGCTCGACGCGGAGCTGGCGGTTCGCGCACTCCCATTGGCGCATCGCTGCGTAGAGCTCTCGCTCCTGGAGACGCGAGAGGAACGCCCGCAAGACCGCGCCATCGTGAACCTTGTCCGTTTGTCGCTTCCAGTGCTGAAGCGCCGATTGGAGGTAGACCGCTCCCATCTTGCGCGCCTAGTGCGCACTTTAAACAAGCATTTTCTACAAAAAATAGCACGTACAAGATGGCGCGTGCGTTCTTGGATCGCCTTTTGCTCGTCGTTCATCATGTAGTCGAGGGCGTAGTTGGCGACACCAATGACGTTTTCGCTTTCCATATAGTTGTACATGGCGCGCAGTCCTAAGAATGGACAGGTTGTCATTGCTACACACATGGTAAAGGCCATCGTACCGTCCAAGCGGGTTTCGTGCCTCTCGATGACGTTGCGGGCTTCTTCGCCGATCGCCGTCGCGTGCAGCCCTTCGAGGATGTCGACCTCCTTGGCGATCGCGTCACTGAGCGCGTCTCGCTTCATGATGAATTTGATCTTGCTCTGCACGAGGCAGTTGACAATGTGGTACTTTTGGCCCCGCGCTTGGTTGGCCGCTAGCCACACGCTTCGTAAGAAGCACCTCAAAAAATGAAAAAAGCCTACGAAAATCGCACGCCACGTTGCCCAGCGCGAGGCATGCCCAGTAGAGCACTTTGGGGTGGTACGGGAACGCAGCGAGGACCTTGGAGAGGACGCGGATGCCTTGATGCATGCCCATGAGCTGTTGTCCTGGCGCTAGACATGACGTCAATACTAGTATCGTCGTCGGTATTTCAAGTGGTGTACGAAAATTCTGGCAGAGTGCCGCGAGGACGTACGACGCTTCGCGGGCGACGCCGTCGTCGGCAGGGTGCGTCTCGATGAGGTCGAGCACGCGCGGCATGGCGTGGATCGCCATAAAGACTTGCTTGCCGGTTTCTACATCGTACGAGATGACATTTTCCGTGTAAAGTTATCGCAAAGCACCAAAATCTTTGATGCAGTAGCCCAGAAAAGCGAGTCCGGCTTCCATGACGCGGGCTTCGCTGCGGAAGGTGTGGAAGAGGTCGAGGAGCCACTGCAGATGCGGGATGTTTACGAGACGATCGCGAAACGTGGTCCGAAAACTGCTCACGTGGCCGAGCACGAGGAGGCAGTCGAGGACGTGGTCCATCGCATGGCGGAAACGATCGATCGAGGCTTGGAGCACCTCGAACGCACCTCCCGCGATCCATTCGGACTCGATGTCGTGCCACACTAGACACTATGTCCATACTTGCCGACATTGTCTAAAAGTGTCTCACGTGTCGCAGGATTGTTGTTGCTACTATCATCGTCGTCGTCATCGTCGTCCTTGCCTAAGCGAATGAGGGGTGGACCCAAAAGGATCCATGCTACCTTCAAACATATGGTCGCAGGCGTTGCGCAGCCACTGGATGGCTTTGCGGTGCACGAGCACGTCGGTCGAGTCGCGCAAGAAGCGCAGCGCATCGCGGATGGATGTGCACTGGGCCACTTGCCACGCGTTCGTGGGGGCTACCACTGGCGTTGGAGGCGGATGCTATTGTATAGTTTGTACCGTCGAGTGTAATAAATTGCATCGGAGGGCACCATGCACCCTTCTCCATGACGTGAAAGCTCCGACACCGGGCTGCGTACAACGTTGCGGGCGAGAGGCCGTACATCTTTTTCAAACGCCCGCTTTTGAGGACAACAATTTTAGAAAATGAGATCCGGTACCGTAAACGTGAGTTTCGTGCCCGTATAAACCACTTCAAACCGATCGTAGTAGCCGCGCGACCGCTTGTCTTTGCTAAGATACCAAGCGGCTCGACCCCTTCGTCGACCAAGAGGGTAGGTCCTACCGGGAGCACACCTCGAGCGTGAATTGAATCGGGAGGCCGTTCAGTGGCTTGTACGTCGGCGGGAGGTGCCAGTAAAGGTTGACCGAGTCGTGGCCGAGGCGCGACGTTAGCAAGAGCGGCACGGGCGGCACTAGATATCGAAGTTGGACCCCGCAATTTGCGACATTTTTCGTACGGATTTGACGCTGTGTAAACGCCACGATCGGTCTACGAGTCGATAGACACATTGTACGCACAACAAAGCTACACACTTGACGAGCGTGCACTCGAGCGGCGCGTCCTTGAGCGAGTGTTGATGATGAATGCCCAGCAGTCGGCCCCCAAAGTTGAAGACAGGGCTACCCGACGCCCCTGACTCCATGGGCACCTGGTACCGAAGTCGTTTGGCGTTGACCTAGGAAAAAGACACGACGCTGATATCGCGTGCGGGACGTTCAAGTACCAAATTGGGGAGAAACTGATCCACGTGGTTGCGGTTGGAGCACGTCTGCTTGCCGTGGGGGTGGCCGACGATCTCGACCTCTTCGTGGCGAAGCTAGGCAAGGTCAAATTACAACTACAGTAAAAACGACATACCACATCCTGGGCACAGCAGAGACGGCGGTCCGTAAATGCCAAGCGAATGGCTTCGACCTATAAGAATCGGCATGCTGGTTCAACATGGACACCACGGACCGACTCGCCCGAGGCCGACCCGAATTCGTCTTGATCGAGCGCACACAGTGTAAAATCAAGCTCGGGCATGGCCGCTTGGTGGATGCTGTCAACTTGCGACGTCATGAAGAAGACGTCGCTGCGCAGCCGCACCATGAACGGAATGCCCCCTACATTGCATTGAGTGGCAAATTGAAGATAGTTGGTTCCACGTAGTTTTGCAAAACTGTGCAAAATGTTGCATCCAAACAAGTAGTGTACCTGGTTTGTAGTTGAATTGAACACGAGAGTAGCGCGCCGTGTCTTCGTCGGGCAGCGTAAAATAGTCGGTCAGCACGCACACGACACTGTTGTAGAGCACGGCAACGCCATTTCCATTCAGATTTGATCGGGTCGAGAGGCGACAGGTGGCATTTCGGTACTTGAACCTACACCATAATCGCGTCGTACATGGTTCAAAAAGACAGTTTGTACCGCTCAATCTCAATGTCATCGTCGCCAAGAAAGACGGGCTTGGAATGAAACACTTCGTGCGTCTGGGTGTTGATGTAATAGTAGTTTTTCGTCTCGGGGTCTACACCAACATACACACTGTCTGCACCACAAAAGACAATATTGTACCCATGTGTTTCTGGTACAAGTCGCGAATCATGTCTTTGAGCAGTAGCCGCGTTCGCCACGTCTTGAACTGGCGCTGAATGCGTAGCTAGCGGAATTGTCCGCATCATTACCGTCGTTTCGAAAGGCTTACCGCCGCGTCATGGGGCAACACGGGCTCGAAGACCTCTTGGCCGTCGCACTGCAATAGCCGCAGCAAGAGAGGCTTGGTCGTTGTCGAGCGACCTGTCCGGGCGTCCACGTAGCGCACTTGCTTGTTGGTTTGATCTACTTGCATCTGCACAAAAACCAAGCGAGAGTTTGGCGTACCGTAGACCTTGCGGTAGACCTCGCAGAGGACGCGGCGAAATGCGTTGCGAGCCAAGCGCGCTCGTGCCATGCGCTGGACCATTTTCGCCGCCATTGTCTCTTCCTCGAGGCGCATGGCTGGCGTCAAGATGGTCCGGCGGATCGGCGCACCCTTCGTCGACGGCGCGCCCGCGAGGCTAAACCTACGCAACGACAAAGCGTGGGGAGAGTTGAGGCGATGGCCGCTACCGCTTCCCGCCCCGGGACGCCTTGCGCCGGAGGCCCATGCGCACGTTCGAGACCTCCATGTCCGTTTCGTTCGTGACGATGATTATGGTCTCTGGATTGTCGATAGATAATGATTGGATACGCAAATAGGTGGATGGGTTGATGGAGATAAGGATAGTTTTTCTCACTTGGAGCCACAACGCGAGAGGGAAGGAAATTTACTTGGACGTCCCGTTCATCCCTCACAAGAGTCTGCAAAAGCGAGATGGTAGCTACAATGTAGCACATGGTTGTGTTATCCTTCCGACAGTTGTATCGGATAGTTGTATCAGATAGTTGTATCAGATAGTTTTATCGGAGAGCTATTTTGGATGGCTGTATCGGATAACTCGGGAGATACATTTTTTCCATACGTTTTGGAATTAGTATATGCTTTTATAAAGAGTTAAGTAGTCCTTGCAGACAATCAATTACTCTGTATGCACCATTGTGCACAAGTCGTCCCTTAGCGAGAAAGCGCGAGCGCCGTGATCGCCGCCGTCAACATCATACCGTGCACTGGCGCCGTCGACTTGGGCGTCGTCGTTGTCGTCGTCGGTGTCGTAGTCGGTGTCGTCGTGGCAAGCGTCGTTGTCGGCGCCGTCGCATTCGTCGTCGGTGGCGACGTCAGTTGCACAAAAGGAGCAACCGCGAGCCCCGTCAAGTTCTGCACCTCGTCGCAGTTGGCCGCCTTGATCGCCGCCTGGAAGCCATTGTAGACTGTCGCGCACGCCGGTGTCGACGCAAACAGTTGCACCTGCGCCGTCGTCGGTGCCGGGTTGACCTGCGTGAGCGACTTGTAAAAATCGTACGGCGCCGTCGCCTTCTGGCACGTCGGCCACTGCGCATCGGTCGTGATCGTCGACAGCATCTGCTGCTTCTGCGCCGATGTGCACGGCGTCGCCGCCGTCGCCGCCGTCATCACAAGAAGGAGAGCAATCAAGTGCATGGTGTCGTAGTTGGTGGGTGGTTGAAGGCAAATCGCAAACTGATGCTATATCCACGACCTCGACCACGCCAGACAGACCACGCGACCTCACGCGATCGATGGACTGTCCATGGCGTCCGTTCTGAACGCGTTGGGACGTCAATGACACGGCGCTTGCTTCTTCCTTGACAAGCCCATCGCTAGATCCGTCCGACTCCGGGTTAGGGTTTCCAAGCAAACAAACAGACACAAATGAATCCAAGAAAAGAATCCAAGTCGAGTAAACCTTAGGCCGTGATGGGCATGTAGTTGCGGCGGCGGAATCGCGCGAGGCTCCAGCGCACAAGCACAACGCTGAGCAGCGCAACCGTGAGCGAGCTCACTGCAAACACGCCGAGGCGCAGGATCGACGTATGCGGCGCCTCCTCAACGTCCATCGATACCGACGCATCGAGCGTATGCAGCCCCGTCACCTACAACAGTCGTCAGTCACATCCCACGGCATCGTTGCTGTACTACCGTGAAATGCGCGTGGTCGTCGATCGACGTCAGCGGCGCCGACGCCTGGTACGCCACGGTCGCCATCACCGTGTCGCCGACCTTGGACGCGCCGTAGAGCACATGGTCGTTGCCAATCAGTGCGCTCTGGAGATACGTCTTAAAGGACGCGAGCACTGACGCACCTACGTCATCCCATGAGCACCGAAGCAATTGACACCGCGGTTGTACGCGTCGCGGTCGCCGGGCCCGTGTACATGGCCGTCACCGACGCCACGGTCGCCGTTGGTGGCGCAACCGGCGCCGTCGTCTGGAGCGTCGCCAGCGTCTGGTCGGCGTCGCCCACGAGGCGGTGGTAGCGCCAATGGCTCTCAGGCACCGCTTGCACGCGGACGCTGTGGATCTTGAAGGCCGCATCGACGCTCACGTGCGTGGCCGAGTCGGCCCACGACGGCCACCACTGCTCCTTGGCCGCGTAAAAGCTCGTGTGCGGGTACGGCTCGGTCGCATTCCACGGCGTCGCCTCGGCCGGGAACGCTTGGTGCGGCAAGCGTGACGTGCCACCCACGTCCAGTCGCACCACGAGGTATGCATCCGAGTGCAAGCTAGCCACACGCGTTGGTGCGAGTCGAGGCCTTTGTACCTCGGGGGCGTCGGCTGGCGGCTCACCACGTTGGTCGGGTCGTCCATGTACGTGACAATCTCGTCCGGCGTCCACGTCACGCCATACACGTGACGCGATGGCGTCACCGGCAAGAACGTCGACTTGACGTTGCACGTGTCGGCGGTGACGCACACGCCGCTGTAGACGCGTCGCCAACTCCAGTCGGCGCCACTCGCAGTGTCCTACACAACGTGCTCGACCCCTACCCCTAGCACCGCGTGTGTACCGTCAAGTTCCGGTTCCCGCGCCCCGCGAGTACTTGGATCGAGGCGCCGACATTGTCCATGGACACGAGGGCAATGCTGGGCCGGAGCCAGTCGCCGAGCGGCAAGGTCGCGGCCACTTCGATATTGCCGTAGCGGAAGCTAAACGTCTCGGCGGTCCGGAGCGCCGCGAGCGTCACGGGCTTGGCCATGTCGTCGGGCGTGTTGACGTGGCCGCACCCGGCGTTGGCCGCCGCCGTGCACTTGCTCGGCATGTCTGTGCCCCACATATCGAGGTATCCCTGTGTGAGCATCCAATCACCGAGCATGTCGCGGCTCAGCGCCGGGTGCAGGTGAAGCGTCGTGTTGGCAACATACGACGTCTGCCGGTGGTTGACGTACATGCCAAAGCCGTCCGTGTGCATCGTGATCTCGGGCTTCCACTTGCGCATGTTGAGCGTGTCAAACTCGTCGGAAAAGATGGTCTGCGCCGGGCTCGAAGTGGACAGCATCGTGGTCGCAACGACCGGCGCCGCGTCAAACGCACCATGGTACGCCCACTTGCTCGCCTTGGTCGTCGCCCAGACCTTGACGTCGTCGACCTCGAGCGACGACGCACCCTTCCACGACGGCAGCCACGCGTCTTTGGCGGCGTGAAAGGCTACAGAGCGCGCATGCCATCGAGTCCACGAGGTGCAGTGGACCTACTCTTTTTGTGGTCGCTCGCAGCGTCGGTCCACGGCTTGGCGTCGACGCCGTCGGCAAAGAAGCCGTCATTGCCACCCACGCGAAGCGCGATGTTGAGGTACCTAGTACACCGCGTGTCATCCTCTCTATTCGCATGCGTGTCTCTGTACATGAGCTGGTCAAAGGGCGCGTGCAGCGGACGATGCCGCCACGGCGAGACCTCGTTCTCGTCGCCGGTCGACGCCCAAAAGGACGTGTTGCCGTAGCCATCGACGGTCGCCATCACGTTGCTCGGGTCGTCGACGTATGTGTAGAGCTGCGTCTCATCCCAGTAGAGACCGTACGTGTGAAACTCGCCGTCGTCCACCGTCGTGATCGAGTGCCGCATCGTCGAAGCGTTGAACGTCCCGACTGTCACGCCGCTGTGCAGCGTCGTCGCCGTGCCTGCCAAATACATCAATGTATCAAATTGGCAGCAACAAGTCATGTACCTTCAAAGAGCGTGATCTCGCCACTCTGCGGCCACTCGCCGTAGCTGTCGTACTTGGGCAAGAGCCGGAACGCCGGCCGCAGCCACTGCCCTACACCCACGCCTTGTCAGAGACCAACGGCGCAAGGTCGTGGTACCTTGGGGCACCTTGGCGCGCACTTCGACGCGGCCGTACTGAAAGCTAAAGCTTTTTCCGTGCGAAGGCTGGCCGAGAGCACGGGCGGTAGGATCTCGCGGTCGTTGCCCGTCTGGAGGCAGCCAAACTTGTAGTTGCTCGTGCACTGATCCCCAAAGCCACTGCCCCAGAGATCGATCGTCGAGTTGTCGAGCGGGCCATACACCTACCACGACGATGACCACGTAGCCACCCAAGCAAGCAGCTCGCACCGCGTCCGTCAGCGTCGGCGTGAGCACGAGGCGGCCATGATCGACGTGGACGTTCTCTCGGCGGTCGACACTCATGTGCATAAAGCTGTGCGCGTTGCCCGTCATGGTCACCTCGGCCTGCCACTTGGCCTTGTCCAATGACGTAAAGTCGTCGTGGAAGACGAGTCGCTCGGTCGGCGCGGTGCACGGACGCGTGTTGGCGTAGCAAGCCGCACCCACGTGGCCCTTGGCAAAGCACTGCGACGTCGTCGTGTGCATGCACGTGGGCAGCGCGTCGGCCAAGGTCGCGCACGCGTTGCACGCCGCCACGTCCTCTGCGAGCTGCGCGTCGAGTTCTAAGATGCAGGTAGTAATCACACACGAGTGTCGAGTCGTACCAGCGTAGTGGTGCACGGGGTTTTTCGAGTTGGTAAAGGTCGAGAGGCCTCGGAGACCCCATACCTTGACGCTGTCGATCTGCATGGCCGCCATGTCGCTGACGCGGTCGCCGCCTACACGGTACCGTTCACGCCATGCCGTCGAGTGGCCAGACGACGACGGACCTTGGTTCCACGACTCGATCCACTTGTCTTTTTGGCTGTAAAAGTTGTAGTGCGGGAACGAGTCGTTGGTGCGCCATGGCTTGCCGCCGCGGTCGTCGGGAAAGTACCCGCTGTCGAGAAAGCCCTTTGCGATCGACGTGCCACCGACCGCGACGTTGAGGATGAGGTACATCTCTTGGTCAAACGGCGCATTGATCGGTCCGTCCTGAAAGTTGTTGTACGAGTCTAGCATTGAGTTGCCGTTTTTGAGATTGCAGTTTGAGATTGCAGTTGAAGTACCGGATGCGTTCCACGCCTTCGCAGCGAGGCCAATGTCCCAGAACGACTGCTTGCCATAGCCCGCGACGCGTGTCACGACTTGGTCCGGCGTGTCAATGTACGAGTACATTTCGTCCTCGTCCCAGTAAAAGCCAAACGTGTGAAACTCGTCGCCGTAGCTGCGGTGGTTTGGCAGCGCCTTCGTGTCGTTGACCGCGACAGGGTACGCATCCTTGTTCCACGCCGGGCCAAAGTGAAAGCACGACGAGAAGCGGTTGTTGCCGATCGGGTTGCCCTTGTCGTCCGTGTAGTCGGGGCCGTTCCCGCGCGACTCCATAATGTCGAGCTCACCCGACGACGGCCATGGCCCGTACCTACATGTCGCCCTCAGCCGACCGCCTGCAGCGATTGACGTACTTGTTATCCTTGGCCATCATCCAGATGCCAGGCCAGAGCCAGTCGCCTTTCGGCAGCTTGGTGGCAATTTCGATGCGGCCATACTTGAACGAGAACGACTCCATGGTCTGGATGCGCGCGCTCTGGACAGGCGGGAGGATGTCCATGCCACTCGCGGTCTTGCGGCAGCCCACAAACTGCGGCGAACTGCACGACGAGTACGGCGACGTGCCTACATGTTGCATGTGTCCAAGCACCGAATCATAAAGCGCGTACCCCAGAGATCCATGTCGCCCTGCGTGACGCCGTCTTGGCCGTACGCCTCGTCCGTGAGCGTCGCACGCAGGTGCAGCTTGCCGTCCTTGACGTACGAGTTGTTGCGGCTGTTGACATAGGCTTGGAACTCGCGGTTGCCGTTGCCGCCAAGCGTAATGTCGTGCTTCCACGTCGAGAGGTCAAAGGCGCCGTTGTCAAAGTTGTCTTCAAAGATGAGGTACTCTTCGTGCTGACCGCCATGCGCGATCGCCGCCAGCGCCAGTACGAGCGCACTGAGCATCGCGAGCCAAATTCCCAACTGCAAGACATGCTCGGCCTGGATGGATATGCACGCAAATAGTGTAAAGTGCCGTTGAAGTGCGTCGATTGTTTCCATGGAAGACCAAGATGCGAGGTCGACGGAATCTCGCATGGTGTTTGGAGCCGAGGTAGGTAGAGCTTTGTCTTGTGTAGAGGCTGGTCAATCACGCTGCCCTTTGTGACCTCGTCGAGTGTTCATGCGAGAGCTTTCTCTCTGGTGCTATTAGCTCCCGTGGCCTAGAACCCGACATTTTCTGCGTCCGAAGGGCCTTGGCTTGATGCAGAGGGCACACCAGTAGGTCGTGCGTGGTTCGAACCACAGGCCAGCGACGTATCGAGCTGGTTGCAGTCGGTGGCCGCGCGATCTGCGCCGTGGCGTCGCCGGGTCGTTGCACACTAATTCATTTGGACCATCTTCAAGCTACACTATTTAGAGAGCTTCCACTTAAGTGCGCGATCTTTCGAAAAAGTTCCACGGTTTGGCGATCTTCCAACGTGGCAGCACGGGAGGCAAGCGTGGTAGAGAGACTAGCAGCGTAGTTGCTTTATATACTTGAATGTGCTCATTATCGAGGTCCATGCAGAACGTACTCTTGCAGGCCTCTGATCGTGTCGCCAGCAGCAGTTGAATCATGCAGCGGCGTACGTGATACCTATTTGAAATCGCCCTACAAAGGACGCCACGGTCTACAAGTGACGCTGGCTGGCATCTTGCTTCGCGGATCGCGCTTCGGACTCTGTCGCTTGGACCACGTCCCTTCCGCACACACCAAAAAGACAGTGCGACAGTAGTTTCTAGAGTTTCTAGTTGATTTTTTTTCCTGAAATGGACGACCCACTTTGACAACAACTACCATTGGCATACGAGGCGACGCCACAATATTGATGTATGTAGACAACGTTTGTATCCCGAGTCGCTTCTTGTCGTGCTTCTCAGGAGGCTGCGTCGCGCAAAGGCAGGGCCTCGCGCAAGCGTGGCTCAAGACACGAGCTGACGGAGCCGAGATCATGGAGCCGCCACGTCTTGACGTCAAAGACATACATAGCTTGCTTGTAGCGAAGGCTCACGAGGCCGTTCAAGGCAGCGGATGCACGGTCCATGTAGTAAATGTCACGGTCCATCCACGCGTCTTGCTCGAAAAGGTAGCGCGCGCCGGCGCAGAGGAGGAGCGACCGACTGCGCACATCAATTTTTCTACTCAAGCGACAGCGCACACTCAGATATGAGAGCGCGTTCATGCTGACAACCAAGAGCGAGAGTGCGAGGAGGCGGCGCAGCGACCCGATCGCGACGCTCCCGGACGAGCAGTGGACTTGGTAGTCGAGGACCGTGCTTTGGCAGCTCCGATGCACCTGCACCACGTGCGTCACGGGGAAAGCGTCGTGAGACAGGCGGTGCCGGCCCACACGAGCACGCTATTGAGCGTCGTATACCGCATGGCGTCGTCTTTGGTCACCGCCAGGGCGATGTCGTTGACGACACCAGCGACCCAAGTGACTTCGTTGGCGGCCAAGCACGTTGCATACCACGGCAGCTGCGTTGCTTCCAAGACCGTGATGCGCCCATGCTTGGTGGCGAGCGACAGCGAGCTCGACGAGAGAAGAGAGAGCGCCGTCACGCCGCGCGCCAGCAAGAGCGGCCGGCCCACCCACACGACGCCGCCGACACGCGAGAGCTCGAGCATGTTGGCGCCGGCGACGTGGCCACGGCACCGCACAAGGTAGATGGCGGCGACACCCGCGACCACCATGAGAACGTACGTCACGTACTGGACAGCGCGATGCGCGTACAAGGCAAAGACGACGGGGAGCTCGGTCGTATCGATCGGCTGCACCCGGCGGATGCCGCCGTCGCCGAGGAGCGTGACCGAGCCGACGTCGCCTTGGAACGAGATGACCTCCCGGTTGCCGACCACCCAGTCGTACAACAGAATATGCGCAAAGAAAGCAAATGCTGGGTCGTCCAAGAGCGGCGCCATGTACAAGGTTGCTGGCGCGTTCGCGCGCGGTTGACCAAACTGCGCCAAGCTGATCTGCAACGGTGTTAAAGCCACCTCGAGACCATGGCGCCAGGAGGTCTCGAGCGCCTGCCCGTTCCCGTTGAGAAATATGAGGGCGGCTTGCACCCCGGCAATGCACGCAGCGACGTGGCTCACCACCTGCGCGCAGACGGCCGACGCGTTCGGCGACGTCAAGGCGGCGCCGATGAGAAAGTGCTCGGTAGTCAGCGAGAGCGACATGGTCACTTGAGCTGTCGCACAGCTGTACGGGAACGAAAACAGCTGTGTGAGACCCGTGGCAATGCTGAACATTCCAGTGTTTCCTGTCGGCGGACAGAGGAGCGAGCCACCAAACACTCGAAAGTTCTCTGCGAGCCACCGAGGCGGCGTCGGTAGCAGCTGGACCGGCGGCGAGATGGCCGCGTACGCATCTACCGCCGCGGGTCCGTTGCTGCGAAGTACGCTAATGTGGTCGAGAATCGCACCGTACCCTCGCCGCACGACCATAGGAACGCCGACGTAGACCATGTCGATGGACCCAAAAGGCCCGATCGTCGACTGCACGATGGCGGCACCAGCGCTGTTGGGCGACGCCAGAATGCTCCCGTTGACCGCGTAGACGTCTTGAAGCGATGCATTCCGATAAGCAAACCGACTACTGGAGCGCAAAAGACTCTGGCCACCCATGGTCGAAGTGTTTGTGAGTAGACTACCGAGGTCGTTGGCGAGAGACCAGTACATTTTGAACGACGTCTGGCTCTCGATACGGTAGTAGCCCGCGGTCGACTGCAACGTGAAGGGATACGAGGCGCCGTACGCGTTGACAATGGTGTACGTATTGACGACGCCGATCGACTTGTAGTTTTGCCACTGCAGCACGTACGACGTGATACGTTTCTGGGTCCACACCGCCACTTCGTCGTCGATCGAGAGGTACGGCGGACGAAACGAAGCTAGCAAAGCTTGACCAGCCTTGGATTCTCGCAGCTCGGACGCCAAACCAATCTCAAACGACTCGTCCCAGCAGGTTGTAATGTCGACGTTCCGAAGCAAGGAAGCCAGAAAGACGGCACCGTTATTGACCATCGATTTGCATCGCTCTTGGCGCGTGACCGAGTTGGCCATTTCCCACTTTTGATCAAAATCGAAGTAGCAGTACTGCGTAAAGACCCACGGGCCATCACACCCATCCAAGGTACGAAGTGCTGAGATGGCGGTGGAGACCTCGGTGAGATTGGTGTATTGTACCATGGCGCCATACTGCTGCGGCGGCATGAGCACCGTCGTTGCGACGCTATAGTCGGCGGCCGAATTGATCGTCGGTGCATCCAACGCCGTCGTCGTGCTCGTGACACCGATCGTGAGCTGCCGTAGAAACCACCGCGCAACAAAGACATGGGTGCCCGTCATGTTGAAGCCGGTCCACACGAGATCGTTGGCGAGATTCGTCTCGGAGAGCGCGAGATACGACGTGCTGCTGTAGATGGCGACGCCGACGTACACCGTCCCGATGAGTAGCCAGCTCCGGTGCTGCCACGCCACGATCGGTGGCATTGGCGCCATGGGGCCCACGGCTCTCGGTAGCAGCGCTACGGTCGGCGCCACCGCGACGGCCGCCTTGTCTCGAACAAACACCCAGAGGGTAAAGTTAAAGGTGACGCGCGCACCACGGTACAAGCCAGCGAGAAGCAGCGTGACACGATCGAGCGACGTATGGGGCATCGAAAAGTAAGCTGTTGCGACCCCGGACAACTGGACGTCGTTCGATGCTGGTGCCGCGGGTCGATGGCGGTCTGCGATCCCCATCACAATGACAGTCATTGGGACCACGACCACGGGGAGGAGCAGGAGCCAGCACGCCCGTGCGTAGCTGCCAATCGTCACGGTTGCACTCGTGCACTCCAGCTGATAGTACATCGCCTGCACCGTGCACACTGGGTGCAACTGCGTTCGGATTTTGACGGGAAACGTCATCTCGAGCGAGACGTAGAGGGCCCACACAACCCCTGCGCTGACGTGACCCGCCACATGTGGTCGAGCGAGCGGCACCAGGAGCGCGACTTCACTTATGACGTACGTGATCCACGTCGCTTCGCTCGCCAAGACGGCCACTTCCAGAAACCCTCGCGGCGCAGGGACAAATCGGCTAAGACCAAACGACGTGGTGAGTGCGATTGGTGCCGTACTGAGCAGCACCATCGCGGACGCGCCGCGGAGAAAGAGGAGGGGTCGTCCGACCCACGTCGCGCCGGCCACCCGGTGAAACACAAAGAGATGGCTTGGATCGGCGCGATGGAACAGACCGAGGAAGCTACAGGCAACGGCGACGACGAGCAACATGACCGAGACATACACCACGAGGTAGAAGACGACGGTGGTCGCGCGCCCGACGGTCGTCGCGCTCGGGTCAGTCGACGTGGTGTCGTACGCTTCCGATATCAAGACGAGAGTCGCGTTGTCGCCTTCAAAGGACACGACTTCGCGGACACCGAAGACCCAGTCGGAAAGAAGGACCCAGCCAAAAACGCAAACGAGGGCGCAAGCAGCGGCTGTCGTAGCAGTGTATAGTTGGTTTGACTCGCATCCGAAGCCAGCTGGACAAGACTTATATCCAGTGCTTCGAGGTCGCGGCGGGCAGTGAGCGACATCGCATTTGGCAGGCCGTTGGCCAGGTGGTGCATTGGCGCGAGCAGGTCGAGGCACGCCGAGTCGTTCAGGCAGATGTCCTCGATCGTTGTCGGCGCCGTCAACCGTAGCCCCCAAAGCGCTGCCGCCACGCTGACTTGAATTGTGAGCGGGAGCGGGGTGTTGCACGTATCAGTGGTCGCAAATGACGCTTGTACATAGGTTTGCGCGGGACCATGGAGGCAGAGGGGGTTGCCGCCATAGTAAACATACGCCCCGCGAAACGCAGGCGGCGTCGGTGTGAGTGCGTCGCCACAAAGCGCCACGTAGGCTGCTGCGAGCGAAGCGTTCGCGGCAAGCATGTCGGCCAATGCGATCTGAGCACTCTCAACAAGCGCATGCAGGGTGGTGGGCACTGGAAGAACCCACATGTCGACCGACAAGAAGGCACCGAGGCGGTCATGGATGACACCGGTTTGGTCGACATAGTGGCCGTTGGCATTAAAGAGTCCAAGCAAGCTCTCAAAGACGGGGGGTTGCAGATAGAGGCATGGCACTTTGGAAAAATGGTAGCTGCTGCTTCGAATCAGGCTTGCGTTGCAGCCCGACACGAGCATGTACAGATTGTTGTAGAGATACCCGTTGAAGATCTGCGACGTCCATGGACCCGCCGACTGCGATTCTTGCTTGAGCGAAATCGGTTGGCGCACACCGAGCGCGTTCACCACGTCCATGGTTTCCGTAACACCCGAGAGGACCGAATTTTGCCACTGCAACTTGAAATAGTCGAGACCCGCGGACCGCCACAAATTCGCTTCGTCAGCGATCGACGTCGAAACATTGGCCGTCGCGTCGAGCCATGCGTAGCCCGTCGCTGATTCTTGCAACGCGAGCTGCAGGCCAATCGTAAAGATGTTGCCGTCGCCGCCATAGAGCTCCAGAAGCGACGACCAGCTCTCGACGTTGCGCAGAACGGTCTCGAGGTACACGGCGCCGTTGGCCGTGTATTTAGCTGCGCACCGCGCTTGGCGCGCGTCCGTCTGCGCCATTTCCCACACTTTTCCGAAATCGACGTAGCAAAATTGCGTCGGGAGCCAGAGCGCGTACGAAGCCGACGTGTTGCGAAGATTTGCAATGGCAAACTCGAGGGACGTGAGCGAGGTCAGCAAGAGTCGCGAGGCATACGTCGGGTGGCGGGTTGGGTACGTCACTTCCGCGGCGTACGACTTGGCGATCGTGACGGCGAGAATGTCAACGGCGTCGCTCTCGAGGAGTGCGTTTGTCGCGTCAATCAAGAACGCCTGCGAGCCGCTCGTAGTGTAGTGAGCCCACCACAGATCGTTGGCGAAATGCGGCGCGAGAAGTGCGAGATACCAGACGCCAGCCGCCAAGCTTCCGCCGAGCCAGAGCCAGGCAGCGAGGGGGCGAGACGGTGGCGGCGTGGTGCCAAGGGCATAAACTGTGGCTGCACGTGCGACGCCATGTTGCACCAACGGCCGCCTCAATTCTGGATGTGAAACGACTGTTCGGAAACGCTGGAAAGACCGTTTGCCGCTTGCAGTCACCAAATTGAAGCATCGTGCGTGAGAGAATCCATACTCGCAGATCTAGAAGACACTCGGAGAGGCACAGCAAACGGGTGGGAGACTCGGCAGTACCCAACACGAGCTTAGCAGCGCAAAAGCATGCAAGGCAGGTGGAAGGGCGTGCTCAATGACCCAGTGAAAGCAAAGCCCTCCAATAACCACCTCCTGTGAGAAGATGATACATGGACATCATCAATTCTTGAAGGGTTGGAATTACCCGATGCGGCGTCTCTCACATGGCAGGCATCGCGCGACCGAGTGATGTGGATGTACCGCGTCGACCAGTACGCCGCAAGCAAAACTGCGCGGGTCGACATACGTGACGTTTCGATTTCCATATGATCAACACAGCTGTTGTTGCTCGACCGCAACGCATACAGCAGGGGTGCTGCGGCTTGGCCTAAATGCACACAGAACAGATGGTCCGGACTCGGAGGCGTTTGCATGCTACATGCCTCCCTCACCTCCCCTTACCCCAGGGACTGGTAGAGCACATCTCCTTACCCCCAAAACCCCCGAACCCGGCGCTTTGATGAGCATAAGTACCTCCTAACTCTCCAAACCCCGTTGAGGCAGATGTTGGCGCATTACACACACCTCCTTTCTGGCCAATGAAAACCCGCCAAACCCTGTGGACCATCTGCTCTGTGTGCAGTTAGGCTATTTGGGGTGCTGCAGGAAAAAACTATTAGTCAGGAAATGCTGTGGCCGAAAAACTGCAGTGTGACGACGTGGACATGGAGGTAGATGTCAACAGAAATTTCTTTTCTCTTGCGATTGGTCCTGGGCTGGAAAGACACATTGAGAAAGCAAAGCGGATCACGTTTGTTTCGAGTAATAGAAGTCGCCGCGAGTCGGTGTCGACTTACACACGACCCTCCTGGTATGGAGGGCAGCAGTCATAGTAATTGAGGTCATCGCACCAACGCTCGGACGGAATCTCGCGGCAAAGTTTCGGCATGCCGGCACGCAGGCTTGGCTTGGCGGGCTGGTCCTCGGGCAGCACGGCGGCGCTGACGACCGCAGCGATCGCAAGAAGAAGGTAGCTGAGTTGCATGGTCGTTTGGTTGGAAATTGAAAAGTGAGCAAAGCGCCGTTGCGACTTCACGTCGCTCTGTTTCTGTCCACACCGCTGTCGTGCGTCGTGCTTAGTCGGCCGAGTACCTTTGCCTCCTGTACTACCATGTGACCATGCATCGATAAAAATGGGTGCGTCGGCCCAGATGTGCTGACAAGATGCAACGCATCGTCGTGCTTTTGGACCCAGGTCTGCCTGTCCTTGCAACGTATGTTGGCCTGGATACCGGGATGCTCGGCCCGTTTTACTATACCTGGTGAAGGTCGTCGACAAGTACAGTGTACAACATCGAACCCTTCTTGATTACTCTCTATTAGATGCAGGATATAGTGTACTACAGTAGTAGGTGCCAACACGACCAGTCGTATCCCACGACAACGTCGTCGATCGCATCGCTATTACCCGTCGCGCGCGAGTGCAGCCCGCGATCGTCTTGGATGACCAGATTCAGATAGCGTCTAGCATGAATGACCAGATGAGACCTTTTTTACATGTGGATACTCCGTAATGGTGTACGAGTGGAAAGGCTGCACGCGATGTGGCTCCAAGCCACCAAAAGTGCGGCCGACGACACGATTCGGACACTAAATGTACCTTAAATTTAGTCAATCCAATAGGCAAGTTGGTTGTAATTGGTCGTGGCAGCCGCACAAAACCCATCGTCGAGCACCCGTAACTGATTGACAGTGAAACCGACTATCAGTGTAAACGACTAAACGACTAAACGACTAAACATCTCAACAACGATAGTACTATGACGATGGAAACCCCACGAGTCGATGCTGGAGCTTCAACACATCGAAGCATCAACGCACGGAGACGGGGAGTTGTGCTGTAAGCGACACCACGTCGAGTCGATATGAGGTGCTACGTTAGACATCGAAGACGACGTTGATGCTCAAAACCGCTCGTTGCCCTCTTCTACGTGATCCGTGTTCTCGCCGCTACTTGAGCTTGTACAAGTATACTAGAGGTACAGCAGTGTGCTGATACAACCCTTGGCGACCAAATGCTCGGCGATAGGAATCGATTCGCGGACTTCCGGGTTCGGCGCGCTGGCATCATCACCGTTTGGGCGGGCGACGAAGCTTCAGAGAGTGGACTCACTATATCGTGGACATGATATGCAAGTCCATCGCACCGTGATGGCTCTTGCTCGGGTGCTAATGTACGAGTCGTTACTTGATCGTGATTACACTGTCTTGATGATCTGCTCAGTCGCTCGCGTCTCTCGAGGACCTCAACAAACTGCGTAGCTTTGCCGCCGATCGCGACACCTGGAAGGACTTTGCAGAGCGTGGCGTCATGGGCCTCTCTTGTGGCCGCAAGCAACTACAGAAGAGCAAGATGCGCCCTGAGATGCGCCCCCGTGCTGCAGCCTCGGCCCGGCGAGCGAATGAAGAAGAAGGAGATTGCTCGTGTCTAAGTATGCGAACTCTAATAACACGAAGATAACGCGAAATCCGATTATATATTGGCGACGCGCACGCTACCGGTATCGTGTTGGTGTCTCGGTTGTCATTTTGACACGACATCTGACTGTGAGTTGTAAAATGGCGATGACACTACCATTCCAACCCAGCACTTGTCCAGTCTATCGACGCGATACAGTACACGTGTAATATTTGCACGAACAACATGCAGGTATATAGGGGCAAACAATAGCTCTTGATGCCAGCAAACCAAGTTGGTAGTGGTGTGGCAGGGATCGCTTACAACTGGGAGGCTAAAACGCCAAGTGGAGCGCTCGTCTAATCTTGTTTGGCGGTCTAACTTTTACCTGGATCGTCGCCGCTTTGATCCATAAAAAGAAGCAGGGTGTACCAGGCATATTTGAAGCACCCTCTGCAACACGTAGAGGATCCCATTGGATGTTTCGGCGTGGGATTTTTTGCGTACCATCCGTTCGTTTTCAACACATGTTCATTGCGTTGTCTGTCGCGCAGGTTTGCAGCCACTCTTGTCAACATGACCATCAAGCTTGCCATCCCACATATGGTCGACTTGACCATCTCGCGCGAGAGGTCAAAGTCCGTGCGGTGTCTGTGACCGAGTCGGAAAGAATGACTTGGAATTTGAGAGCGCAGAGTGCGTTGTTGCAGGCTGCAGACGACCCGCTACAAGCTGCAGCTGGTCGTCTCGTTTGAATAGATTTTTTGTCGACGCACTATAGTGCTGCAGAATAAAAGCCAGACACCGGGAGCCGGTGGAGATGCTCTAGTGCCCGAATGCCCTTTAACGTCACAATCACCTGGAGGGGGTTAAGATTCTCTCGGTATTCTTTCATGTGCTACACCAGCAACACGCCACAAATGCATCACGAAACACGGGTTGAAGCGCGACGAGTAGACTCGGTTCCAAGACTTGTACAACGTATTCGTGCGGCGACGCATCTGGTATTCTTTAGACTCGGAAAAGGCACTTGCAGAGGCAAGACAAAGCACAAGACAGCGTTGCGGCGCGTAAAAGCGTGCAAGGCAGGTGGAAACCAGGCTACCAAATTCGGCGTGAGCCCTTTCCGACCAGCCATTGTAAAACAACCTCCTTTCTTAATATTATACTCAGACCAAGTCTACTGATCCGAGTCGTTGAAGATCCATTGCCGACTGGCAAGTCTCTCAATTCTTTTTGGATGCATACATTATTGTGAATAAAATTGTTCGTTATCTTGTCTGCGATCGACTGGACACGATTACAGTGCAGACGTCCGTGCGGCCGCGACAACTTGATCCAAGATTGTCAGGCGTGTGCGCGACGTGCGTGCGTTCAAGTGGTTACCACTGCACATGGTCGGATACCCCGTCGCGTCCGTGAGCAGGACCGTGTCGCCGTTCGAGTAGTTGTCGGCGTAGTCGAGCAGCGTCGCGTTCGCGGCTTTCACAGCGGCATGGAGCGGGTCGAGGAACCACGCCTTTTCTTTACGAAACGCCGACCGACTAATTGGCGCCGGCACCTTGACGCTGGTGCCACTGACCCACGTGTCGGGCACCATCTGCGGGTACTCGGGGCTCTGGTCGACGACAAATACCTTGATGCCGAGGCGTGAGAGCTTGAGCAGCTCGGCTTGGAGCGACTCAAACATATGGCGCACGTCGTCTGTGTTTTGCTCCTTGCACGCCACAAACTCGTACAAACAGCACTTGGGCGGGTTCGTGTACGGCCGGTCGTTAGGCGCACCCGGGTTGAGAAACTGGATCCAATGCACGACGAGGAGGACGGCTTGCGGCTTGACCGTTGCGAGCATGTGCATGTTTTCTGCAAACTCGGGGCGGCACGGCAGCATCGCGCGGCCCCACCGGTTCTTGAAGACGATCGTCGGAAACGGCGTCTTGGACGCGGTTGCATCGTCAAAGAGCTGCATGAACCGGGGCACCGACATGTCGGCGTGTGAGTCCCCGAGAACAACAAGCGTGCCGTCCGCTTCGAGCCCCGGGTTGATCACCTCGCAACGTTCGGGGTAGCCCGGATTCACCGGGTCCTTGAACGGAAACGGCGCCGGTGATGTGGCGCCGGTGATGTAAATAGCGTCAGGCGCGCAACTCGTTGTCCGGACGTTCCAGTTGCCGTCGGCCATGGCTTGCTTGGTCTGTAGCACCGTCGTCATCGCCCGCGGCACCGCTGTCGCATCGAGGGTCGTGGTATTGACGATCGGCGGCAACGGCGCATTGGCAATCTCGATCTCGGTGGCGGAGAAGCTTGCCGGGTCCGTGTAGGCGCAACCGGCGACCACCGCGACTGCCATCATGCCAACCACGAGAAGTGGCGTAACCCACTTGGAGTGGTGCCGCCGGAGTCGTCCCTCGAGGTCTTCGTACGTCGCGACGCTCAAGACGACGCTGAGCAGCAGCATCGTGATCGGCTGCATGTAGAACGGACGG